AAGGTGATTTGGTTATACAAATACACGCATATTATTTTTGAAATTGTTTTCCATCATAGGTTTATGTAAGATACTGACTAGTTCAAATTAGAAATCTAGCATTCTATTCATACTAACTCAAACAGGTGGAATCAGAATGTCATAATTTTTAGTTAGGCAAAATTAATAACTATTCTAATATATATATTATACATATGTATATGTATACGAAAGCTTTTCTATTCATCTCTTTTCTTTAGTGCTTGTGGGTCTTTGGTGTACATTTCTTACCAAGCTTCACTTGATAAAGCCTTGAGAAAACATCAAAAAAAGAAAAAAAGAGATGGAGTTATTGGAGAACATAAACTAAATGAAATGGAAGCACTGAATATGAGGTAGAAAAAGAGAAGCTAGATAAAAGTAAAAGATAATCATATAACAGTTGTTTTAAAACATGACTGCTTATTAGAGACATATCTGGAGCTCTGAAGGAAAAAAGCAGTATCTGAGCATTTGTATTTTTCAAAAATTTCAAGATAATTCTGATACACATCTGGATTTTAAAAAGTGGTTACAGGTTTTTCGGTTAGATCCTAGTTTTGGTGATATGACTTCCCTGGTGGCTCAGATGGCAAAGCGTCTGCCTACAATGCAGAGACCTGGGTTCGATCCCTGGGTCAGGAAGATCCCCTGGAGAAGGAAGTGGCAACCCACTGCAGTATTCTCGCCTGGAGAATCCCATGGACTGAGGAACCTGGTGGGCTACATTTCCATGGGCTTGCAAAGAGTCAGAACCGACTGAGCGACTTCACTTTCACTTTGGTGATAAAGTTGTATTATTTTTCTGTTGACCAATCATGATAAAATAGTATTAAGTGAGTAATAGTTACATAATCACAATAGTAAAAGATGTTTATCAGTTTTCACAATCAGTAGCCAGACCCCCCCCAAAAAAAATAATTACAATTGCAAGCCATAATGGGAACATGATTAACTTAACAGTATAAAATAATTACATACAGTTTGGGTGGGGTGATCAAGCAGAGTGATGTATGTGATAAGTGGAAGTGCATACATGGACATGTTTTCATTCACCCAGCCAGCCTCTATCTTTTGGTTGGTGCATTTAACCCATTTACATTTAAGGTGATTATCTACATTTAAAGTGGTTATCAATATGCATGGTCTTAGTTCTTAATTGTTTTGGGTTTATTTTCTGTAGGTCTTTTCCTTCTCTTTTGTTTCCTGCCTAGAGAAGTTCCTTTAACATTTGTTGTAAAGCTAGTGGTGCTGGATTCTCTTAACTTTTGCTTGTCTGGAAAGCTTTTGATTTCTCCATCAAATCTGAAGGAGAGTCTTGCTGGATTGGTGCTGAAATGTCTTAACTTTTGCTTGTCTGGAAAGCTTTTGATTTCTCCATCAAATATGGAGAGTCTTGCTGGGTAGAGGTTGTAGGTTCTTCCCTTTCATCACTTTAAATATATCTATCACCCAGTTCCCTCTGGTTTGTAGAGTTTGTTGAGAAATCAACTTTGATAGCCTGATGCGAATTCCTGTGTATGTTATTTGTCATTTTTCCCTTGATGCTTTTAATATTTTATCTCTGTCTTTAATTTTTGTCAGTTTGAATACTCTGTGCCTTGGTGTGTTCGCTAGGTTTATCCTTTCTGGGACTCTGTGTGTTTCCTGGACTTGATTGACTATTTCCTTTCCAATATTAGGGAAGTTGTCAGCTGTTATCTCTTCTAATATTTTCTCAGGCCCTTTCTCCCTCTCATCTCCTTCTGGGACCTGTTTAATGCGAATGCTGGTGTGTTTAATGTTGTCCCAGAGGCCTCTTAGGCTGTCTTCGTTTCTTTTTATTCTTTTTTCTGTATTTTTCTATGGCAGTGATTTCCATCATTCTGTCCTCCAGGTCATTTATCTGTTCTTCTGACTCAGTTATTCTGCTATTGATTCCTCCTAGTGTATTATTCATCTGTTTGTTCTTTAGTTCTTGTAGGTCTTTGATAAACATTTCTTACATCTTCTCAATCTTTGCCTCTGTTCTTTTCCCAAAATCCTGGATCATCTTCACTATCATTATTCTGAATTATTTTTCTGGAAGATTGCCACTTCATTTAGTGGTTTTTCTGGGATTTTATCTTGTCCCTTCATCTGGGACATACCTTTCTGCTTTTTCATCGTGATTAACATTCTGTAATATGGTTTTTGTTTTAGCCATTGTGAGACTGTGCTTATTCTTGCTTCTTTTGTCTGCTCTCTGATTGATGAGGCTAAGAGGAAGGGACTGGCAATGGGAAAAAGTAGGTCTTGCTCAATAAAGCTTTAATCCAGTTATCTGCTGATGGGTAGGGTTCCTTCCCTCCCTTGTAGTTGTTTGGCTTGTGGGTCAGTGGGTTCTGTTGTTCAGTCGTTGTTGTCTGACTCTTTGTGACTCCATGGACCGCGGCACGCCAGGCTTCCCTGTCCTTCACTGTCTCCCAGAGCTTGTTCAGACTCATGTGCATTGAGTTGGTGATGCCATCCAACCGTCTCATCCTCTGTCATCGCCTTCGGCCTTCAATCTTTCCCAACATTCAGGGTCCAAGGAGTGGGCCCTTCTCATCAGGTGACCAAAATATTGGAGCTTCAGTTTCAGCATCAGTCCTTCCAGTGAATATTCAGGACTAATTTCCTTTAGGATTGACTGGTTTGATCTTCTTGCTGTCCAGAGGACTCTCAAGAGTCTTCTTCAGCACCACAGTTCCAGAGCATCAATTCTTTGACACTCAGCTTTCTTTATAGTCCAACTCTAGCTTTGACTAGACGGATCTTTGTTGGCAAAGTAATGTCTGTACTTTTTAATAGGCTGTCTAGCTTTGTCATAGCTTTTCTTCCAAGGAGCAAGTGTCTTTTAATTTCATGGCTGCAGTCACTGTCTGCAGTGATTTTGGAGCCCCCAAAAATAGAGAAATAGTCTGTCACTGTTTCCATTGTTTCTCCATCTTTTTGCCATGAAGTGATGGGACCGGATGCCATGATCTTTGTTTTTTGAATGTTGAGTTTTAAGCCAGCTTTTTCACTCTCCTCTTTCATCTTCATCAGGAGGCTCTTTAATTCCTCTTTGCTTTCTGCCATAAGGGTTGTGTCATCTGCGTCTCTGAGGTTATTGATGTTTCTCCTAGCATTTCTTATGATGTACTCTGCATATAAGTTAAATAAGCATGGTGACAATATACAGCCTTGATGTACTCCTTTCCCAGTTTGGAACCAGTCCGTTGTTCCGTGTCTGATTCTAACTGTTACTTCTTGACCTGGATACAGGTTTCTCAGGAGGCAGGTAAGATGGTCTATTATTCCTATCTCTTTAGCTATAAAGAGGGTTTACACCAAGGGGGACCTTCCCATGCTCCTATCCCTGTGGTCAGCCCCTGCTGAGCCACACCTCCACAGGAGGCCCTCCTCCACTAGTAGTTAAGTTTTGGTTCAGTCTCCTGTGTGGTCACTGCACCTTTCCTCTGGGTCTTGCTGTGTGCAAAATTCTGTTTGTGCCCTCCAAGACTGGAGTCTCTTGTTTCCTCCAGTCCTCTGGAAGTCCTGTAGTCAAATCGCACTGGCCCTCAATGCCAGATTCCCTGGGGATTCTCCAGGCTGGGAATCCTGAAATGGGGCTCAGAACTTCTTTGGTATTATTGTTCTGCAGTCTGTGGGTCACACACCTGGTGGGTATGGGATTTGATTTTATTGTGATTGCGCCCCTCCTGCTGTGTTAGACCTAGCTTTTGTTTGGATGTTGGGATTGACTGATGGGTCAGTGGATAAAGAACCTGCCTGCCAATACAGCAGACACAGGAGATGCGGGTTCGATTCCTAGGTCAGGAAGATGCTCTAGTGTAGGACATGGCAGCCGACTCCAGTATTCTTGTCTGGAGAATCCCGTGGATTGAGTAGCCTGGTGGGATACAGTCCAAAGGGTCACAGAATTGGTCTGGACTGAGTGACTTAACACTTTCGCTCTTTGTTTGGATGTTACGTTTTGAAGTTCACATTTGCAATTAACAGAATAAATAGTGCTGTGTTCATACAGAATGCATAGTGGTCAATGCACAGTGTTACACCCTAAAGTCTTGTGGGTGATACAGGGGTGGTTTTGTTGACTGTAACTCTGCTCTTCAGCAAAAGTCTTGGTAAATAATAGCCTTCTGTTGTCGATTTTATTTTATTTTGGTTTTTGTTCTTAGTTTTAACTGAAGTATAGTTGATTTACAGTGTCACTTTCTGCTGTACAGCAGTGTGATTCTTGTACATATATATGCTTTCTTTTCTTAAAATTCTTTTCCATTATGGTTTATCATAGGACATTGAATTTAGTTCTTTGTGCTATACAGTAGGATCCTTGTTGTTGAATTTTATATTAATAAAGTTTTTTTTTTTTAGGTTTTTACCCCTTTGTATATTTCTTTATGAGTAGGTATTAATGATATTTCTGTTATCTTGGGCTGTAGCTTTTTCTAAAGGTTGAGACTTAGTAGGAGGATTTGATGAGGACTTAAGGTGGTAATATTTTTGAATTTGGGTATTAATTTGATAATCTCTTCTTATCACTACCTTTGTGTTTTATGGGAGAAGTAGGAGGCCTTCCTGCTTCTGTTTTCATCACCGGACTCCTATGCCAGTACGTAGATTAGATACTCATTTCATCCATCACCAAGTTCTTTCATCTCTGTGTTCAAAATAGATCTCAATGCAATCACTTCTGCCATTACTGCTGACTATCCCATCCTAAGCTGTTTTCATCTTTTGTTTGGACTGGTCTAATAGCCTTGTCCTTGGTCCTCTTACTTCCATTATTATCCTACCCCAATCAGTTCTCCACACTACAGCCAAATGACCTTTAAAAAATATGAGTCACATCATGTTATTTATCTGAATTTAAAAATTACTCTGGTTTATAATGTGAAATAATTCACTATCTTACTGGCCTTAATTCTTGAACTAATTTTGACTTGAAAGTCACTGTGCTTCTTATCTTTTCCCAGGAGGAACAACACAGCATGCTGGGCTCTGGATTTAAAGCTGAGCGTTTACGAGTCAATTTGAGATTAGTCATAAACCGTCTTAAACTGTTGGAGAAAAAAAAAAGTGAGTAGTGTGTGTTTGCCTTCCATTTTTTTCCCCAGAGTACATTGTTGATTCCTAGCACCCTGTTATTAGCTCTTTCAGGCTAGCAGTCTGAAGTCTTAGGGACCCTATATCCTCTAAGTTTTAGGTACATTTCTGCTGTCTTTTGTGACTAGTTAGACTGAATCACTTTGTAACAGGGAAAGGGACATACTCTTTCTATGGAATAGATAAAATGACTACACAAACACTGTTCTCACCTAGACAAGGCAGCAAATTCTAGAATAGATGAGACTAAGTTTGCTAAGGAAGGGTGAGCTAGGATATAGTAGAAACACCGACTTTTTTCTTTTGGGGTGGATGTCTGCCTGCAGGCCAGGGCCCATGTACTACTGCTGTGTGACTGGAGTGGGATTTGTGCTTTAGCGGAATTGGCCCAGAAAGCAAGGAAAGAGATTGCTGACTATCTGGCTGCTGGGAAGGATGAACGAGCTCGAATCCGAGTGGAGCACATCATTCGAGAAGACTACCTTGTGGAGGCCATGGAGATCCTGGAACTGTACTGTGACCTGCTGCTGGCTCGATTTGGCCTCATCCAGTCTATGAAGTAAGCTGTTTTGTCCTTTTTTTCCCTTCATTGGGGGTATAGTTGATTTTGGAAGAAATTTCACGTATTTAGTGTGTGTAGGTGTACAATTTGATGAATTTGGGCATAGGCATATATATACCTGTACACTTCATCATAGGTTAAAAAAGCAGTCGTCATCTCCAAAAATTTCCTTATATCCCTTTTTTTGATAAGAACACAACATAAGATCTGCCTTAAACAGTTTTAAAAAATTTTTTTATAAAGTTTATTTTTGGCTGCTCTGGGTCTTTGTTGCTATGCATGGGCTTTGTCTAGTTGTGGCAAGTGAGGGCTGCTCTCTAGTTGCAGTGCTCC